GCCCTGGCCGGGTCGGGGAGCGGGCCCGGAGCAGCCTCGGGGCGTCGCGGTGTCGGCCCCCTCTGCGGATCCCTGACCTTTTCACTGCCTGTGCAGACTTCGAAGGAAAGGTCGTGAAGACTTCGGTTGTGTTCCACAAACTGGGGACAGCCCTGCCTGCGTGGGGGGAGGAAGGACCCGAGTTCCAAGGACCCGTGGTAAGTTGGCGAGATCCGGCTGTGTAAGCAGGGTGGGGAAGAAACGGGAGGGAGCTCGCAGAGATCTGGAGTTTTAACCAGTTCCGAGGAGGGCGTCTTCAGGTCGAGGGTGCCTGAGTCCTGTGAAAAGCATGGGATAGTGACTGCACCTGTTTGAGCCGCCGGTTTCCCCTAGGTTGATAGGCGCTGCTCGCGATGCGGTCACGAGGGGATGGCCTACCACACCAGACAGATGCGCTCGGCCGACGAGGGCCAGACCGTGTTCTACACCTGCACCAGCTGTAGGTGGGTACCTTCCCCGCCTGCCCTTCGCGGTCCGTTTGCTAATTGGAGAAATCCAAATCGGACACGTGTTTAAATTCTGCATTGTTTCACTGGTGTGAAAAACTGATTGTGGAAATAAGGACTGAGACCAAAAAAAAAAGGGCCGGGGATTTAGCTGAGCGCTTTGGTGGCCTGCCTTGCAAGCGCAAGGACCCGAGTTCAATCCCCGGTACCAAAAAAACGAAAGAAAGAAAAGAAATAAGGACTGAGATATATAATGGATGTTGGGAAATGAGAAGACACTGTTCAAATGGGAAGAGAAGTGGGGGCGGGAAGGAAGGGACAAGAAAAAAATGCGAAAATAGAAGGAAAAATGGAAACAAAGCTTTCGTACACAGCGAAAGGAGGGGACTTGAGGGGGAATGGGATAAAATAAAATATTATTTATTTTTAAAAAGTTTTCTTCAGTCCATCCCTAATAGGAAAATTTATGGTTCTGGATTTTTTGGGTTTTGAGACCAGGCCTTGCTGTGTAGTTCAGGCTGGCCTTGAAGTCACTGTGTAGTCCAGGCTGCCCCCAGCCTCCAGAGTGCTGCGATTACAAGCGCGTGCCGCCCACCCTGCTCACTTTCTCTGTTTGATGGTGTACCCTACTCTCTAGCCTTTCTCCTTTATTGAGGCTGTTTGGGAGTTGTGAGACTCTGAAGCTGACAGTTGATTTATTTTGCATAAACCTTGGAAAATTATTTCATTCACTACTGCCTTTCCCCCGTGTTCTCAATTCGCACGTTATGAAGCTGTTTATTAGACCTTTTCTTTCATCTTATTCTCTGATCTTGTCTTTCATATTTTCTGTCTTATTTCTCTTTCTACTGCTTTTTGGGTGATTTCTCTAGATCATTTATTGTTACAGTTTATGTCTCTACCCCCCACTCTCTCTATATATGTGTGTATGTTTAGGTTTCTTTTGGTACAGGGGATCGAACTGGGGACCTTGTGCTCTCAAGGCAGGCAGTGGAACCACTAAGCTAAATCAAATCACTGGACCAATTATTACTTATTGAATTCTACTTAATTATGTTTTAAAATCTCATTTTTTGTTGTTGTTGGGTTGTTTGTTTGTTTGTCTTTGAGACAAGGTCTCACTATGCAGTTGAGACTGACCTAGAACTCACTACGTAGCCCAGGCTGGTCTTCACCTCACAGCGATCCTCCTGCCTCAGCCTCCTGAGTGCTGGGATTACAGGCATGTGCCACCATGCCCAGCTAAAGTCTCATTTTAAATAGTTCTCAAGTTCTTAATTTAAAATTATTCCTTTTGTTCTTTAAATACATTTTAAGTACATTAGTGTATACTTATATTCTATGTCTGGTAATTTTGATATAGTTTTTGTGGGTTTGATGCTTCTTTCTGTTTGTTTCTTTTTTGGTACCAGGGATCGAACTTGGGCCCTTGTGCTTGTGAGGCAGGCGGTGGAACCACTGAGCCAAACCCCCGGCCCTCTCTCTGTTATTTCTGCTGATACTCTCATGGTGCTTTTTTCCTGTTTTATGATGTTGTGTGTTTTTTGTCTGTTTTGATTTTTTTTTAAGCTTGAGTTCTTTTACAGCTTGAATATTCTTTGAGACCTGCAGTGAATGCTGTATTGTCAGCATTTGTGTCTGTGTGAAGGGTGAGTTTTCCTAGTGCCTTGACGCACTAACAAGCTTGAATCACTTAAAATAAATTGTGACTTCTTTTTTTAAGCCTACAAGCCCCTGTTTATAGTTAGAAATTCTGAGGAAGCCAGATGTGGTGGGTGCACACCTGTAATCCCAGCACTCAGAAGGCTGAGGAGGAGGATCAAGAAAAGTTCAAAGCCAGCCTGGGCTACATAGCAAGAACCTATTTCAAAAAAACTAAACAAGGAATTTTTTTTTTTTTTTTTTTTTTTTTTTTTTTTTTTTTTTGGTACCAGAGATAGAACTTGAGTCCTTGTACTTGCAAGGCAGGCAGTGGAACCACTGAACTAAATCCCCGGCCCAAAAAAACAAAACAAGGGATTGGGGATTTAGTTCAGTGGTTCTGCCACCTGCCTCAAAAGTGCAAGGTCCTGAGTTTGATCCCTGGTACCCCCTAAAAACAAAACAAAAAAACAACAAAAAAGGAAATTCTCAGATATTTTTCTCTCCTCTTCCTATTGGGACAAATTTCCCTGGTACAGTTGGATTTTTTGTTGCTCATTTTTAAAAGAAGGGTGGCCTTTGTGTAAGGGGTTCCAAATTGATGCAGCAAATCTCCTGTTAGCAATTGTAGTTTTCTCTGCTTCTTTATGTTACCTGTGGCTGTCAAAATAGTATTAAGAGCACTGTGGAAGTTCTTTTTTTTTTTTTTTGGTTTTTTGAGACAGCGTCTCACTATGTAGTTGACACTGAACTGGAACTCACTATGTAGCCCAGGTTGGTTTTGAACTCACAGCGATCCTCCTGCCTCAGCCTTCCCAGTGCTGGGATTACAGGCATGCGCCACCACGCCCACCTTAGACTGTTCATTTTTAACTTACTGGTCAAGCTATCTGGGTTCACATAATTTTTAACTTTGAAGACTATGTTTACTTTCTTGCCATTCTATCAATAAATTAAAAATATTTATAGTGAGATGTATTTTTCAAGAATAATTTTCTGCCAGGTATGGTGGCATACCCCTGTAATCTCAGTACTCAGAGGCTGAGGCAGGAGGATCCCTGCAAGTTTGAGGCCAGCCTGGGCTACATAATGAGTTCAAGGCCATCCTGAACTACAAAGCAAAGCCTTGTCTTACCAGAACAAAAACAGAAAAATCCCAAACACACACACACACACACACACACACACACACACACACACCACACAATATTTTCCCCAGGATTGTCTGTTTTCTGAAATTTTTTATGAACAGAAGTTTCTATTTGGTGGGAGGAGGCTGTTGTGCTGGGAACGGAACCCAGGGCTTTGGGAATGCTGAATATACTGTCTAACCGTTGAGCTACACCTAAACCCAGAGTTCTTAATGTTTATAAGCTGCAGTTTCTACTTTGTCTGTTTGAGACAGTGTCTGGCTGTGTTGTCCAGGCTGCCCACAGTCCTCTCTCAGCTTCTTGAGTGCTAGGTTACATACATGTGCCACCATGCCTGCTGCCAGCTTCCACTTTTTAAAAACTTTCATGTCTAGCCAAGCGAAATGCTGCACACCTGTAATCCCAGCACTCAGGAATCTGAGGCAAGAGGATCACCACAATTTCAAGCCCAGCCTGGATTAGAGAGAGACCCTGTACCCCTGCCAAAAAAAATATGGCTATGGCTGTTGCTTTTTGTGTCATAAGAAACCTTTGCATACTTCAGGATGGTAATTAGATTTATTAATCCCAGCATTTTCAGTTGTTTTGAAATTGAAGTTGGAGGATGATTTAGAGGAGCTAGTCCTTGAGAACGTCATAAATTCTTTTGTTCGTTTGTTTGTTTGGTTTTGTTTTTTTTTTTTTGGTACCGGGGATCGAACTTGGGTCCTTGCGCTTGCAAGGCAGGTGGTGGAACTGCTGAGCTAAATCCCCAGCCCATAAATTCTTTATTTAACTGATTCTCCCACTTTGCACTGCTAGAAACTTTCCCTTTGGTTGAACATAACAAGTCATTTCTTTCTCTCTAGGTTTCAGGAAAAGGAAGACTCTTGATCTTTTTTTCCGGATGACTCAATAATACCTCCTGCTCCTCTAGACGGTGAAGGATATGATTCTTAGGTGCCTTGGCATCCATGCTGTCTGGTTGCAGTGCTTTTGCTCCCAGAGGAGAATCACATCATCATGTGGCAACTACCCTTGTCCCCAGAGTCTTCCTACCTCTGAGTTTATTAAAGTTATGTTTTTCTATAAGACTCTACCTGTATATTATTTATAATCTATCTCATTCCATGAAGAATGTAAACACAGCTTTATAAGAAAAATATTTTAAAAGATAATGATAATAATGGAGCCAAGAATGAGGCTGATATAAAAAAGAATTACAAGTGTTCTCTTACTGTCTCAATCTGCTTGGTTCCTGAGTGTAGAGAAACAAAGACCAAGTTTGGCTACTGAGAGATTCAACGTGAAATTTAAACATCTGTTTGGTATATAAATTTGAACAAAATATCAGAATTTACTATAAATGGACATTTTGAAAATTATTTTTTTCTTTTTGGTTTTTTTGTTTTGGTACTGGAGATCGAACTCAGGACCTTGTGCTTGCAAGGCAAGCGTGGTGCCACTGAGCCAAATCCCCAGCCCTTTTTTTTGGTTTTTTTGAGATAGAGTCTCACTATGTAGTTGAGACTGACCTGGAATTCACTATGTAGCCCAGGCTGGTCTCGAACTCATAGCAATCCTCCTGCCTCAGCCTCCCAAGTGCTGGGATCACAGATGTGCGCCCCCACACCAGGCTGGAAATTATTTTTTTATTGCTGAGATAACTATATATTCATTGTTATAGATTATTATATGGAAAGTTAGGATAAATCACAAGTCATCCCACTCCACAGAGAGAAGCAAATTTCATCTCTGCTTATGTAGGTATCTATGCAGATATATGGATTATTAAATGTGCTATACCATACATAATGAATTGGTTTTTTGTTTGAACCCAAAACTTTCAAGGCAAAGATATATGCATACAGTCCAGCCACAACACAAGATATTCAAATTTTCATTCTGGGAGTCAGTATTCCTGCATTCATGGCTTAAATGGTGAGGAACAGATGAGAGTAACTGATTATCTTGTAACTGGCACTTTATATATTCAGAGCGCTCAAACATTACAAAACAACATGCAGTGATGGGGACAGCAGTGTTGCTCACTTGGGTGTTCTAGCAGTTGACATTCCTGACCCACTCCCAAAATCTCAAATCTCAGGACGCTGCACACATGAGGGAGGCGCAGCACAGAGCTGAATCCCTGGCTCATCAAACCCACTTTTTCTGGCTATAACATTGACTAAGATCCCAACTTTCTTAGTGAAGCACTTGTGGCTTTCCATAAATTTTTTATCTGTTATCCCTCACCTGGCACCCCGTAAGGTCCCCCGGTACAGAACTGCATTCCCACCAATCCACACACCTACAATTTTGGAAGCTACCTAAAAAACAAAACATCTCCCTTTTTGTTTTGTTTTTGTGGTATTGGGGATTGAACCCAAGGCTTTTGCACTGAGCTACATCCCCAACCTCTACCTTATTATCATTATTATTATTATTAGTAGTAGTAGTAGTAGTAGTAGTAGTAGTACTGGGGATTGAACTCAAGACTCTTGTGCTTGTGAGGCAGGTGCCAGAACCACTGAGCTGAATTCCCAGCCTACCCTTTTTATTTTTTGAGACAAGGTCTCATTAAATTGCCTCGGCTAACCTTGAATTTGTGAGGACCCTCTTGCCTCAGCCTGCCAGAGTGCTGCATTTACAGACATTGCCACCACATCCAGCTTCCTAGTTGTTTTGCTCCTTTTTCTCGCTGAAAAACATGAACGTATTTTTATAATGGCCTATATAGTGACCTATTACCTTTTCTTTGTTTAATTGATTTACTCTACTCCATCTGAGAGTAACTTGACAGTATATAACTAAATTCAATTTCACAAATTAGATTTACTTCTTTCATTTTTGTGGAATTGGGGGTCAAACCTAGGGCTAACACCATAGCGCTACATCCCCAACCCTTTTTACTTCTATTCTTTTAAATTTTGACACAGGGACTCAATGAGTTTGACAGATTGGCCTCAAACTTCAGGGTTCTCCCGCCTCAGACAACTGAGTAGCTGTGTCTTCTGCACCTCCATCTTCAAGGTCTTACCATAGTGACTGGAGATTTCCAAACTGAAAGTGCATTAAGTGCCCTGCTCAAATACTAATAGGCACAAAGCAAGGACCAGAGGTCAACCTGCCTTTTTTTCTTTTCTTTTTTTTTTTTTTTTTGTACCAGGCATCAAACAGAACCTTGCGCTTGTCATACAGGTGGCAAAACCGAGCTAAATCCCCGGTCCAGCCTACCTGATTCTTAATCCAATTGCTTCCAGTCCCGTTTCCTATTAGAGACCTAAGAATGATAAGGAAACGAGGACTGGCCAAGAGAGTGTCACTACTGGCTCCACTTCCATCCGCCTTTTCCCACCAGCATTAAGGATCAAAGGGGCAGGGCCTCACCGTAAAGTGGGCACCGTCCTTACCCTGAGCACGCTGTGGGACGGGTTCTGTTTCAATTTTTTCTGTGTGCACCAGGGATCAAACTCAGGACCTTGCACTTGTGAGTCAGGCAGCTGCACCACTGAGCTAAATCCCCGGCCCCTGCGTGAAGGTTCTGACTCAGCCCACCGTCCAGGACTTAGTACTTTTACTTGGACTTTCGGGGTCCCTGCACTTGACACTCCTTCCTCCATCCCCGCAGGGCGGGCCCATCTGTTCTTTTTCCCCGTTTGGCGCCTGCGCGCTAGCGTCTTACGGCGGAAGTAGCCTTGCGTCGCCTGCCCTCTGACGCACTGGGTGCTGGGGAGGGCAAATGGGGACGCAGGATGCGTCATACCCGGAAGTGGGGAGCCGGAAGTGGGGTTGGACAGGTTATCCCCAGGGGTGGGGAAGTAGAGGCCTTGAAGGAGGGGGAAAAAAGAAGGCGGAGGATCCTGGCTACTACTCTGAATCGGATACCGATTCTCTTAGAACTCAGAGTCACAGATATAGGGAAGAGTGTCTCACCCCAGTCGTCCTTTCCTTGCCTCATCCTCAGCCATGGCTGAAGCAGGGGCCGGGCTGAGTGAGACCGTAACTGAGACAACGGTTACCGTGACAACCGAACCCGTGAGAAAGGCGGTGGGGGGCGGTGCTGTTTAGGGGTCTGGGAGATGCCGGGAGGAGGGGACAGGGCTTTGGGAAGTTTCTAGAGGGGCCGGACTTGGGAATCTGGGCGATGTGGGGTTGAATAACTGGGACTTCGGGTATTGCAAGGGATTGGGAATACGTGGTGTGGCAGAGACGCTGTAGGAGGATAGGACGGACCATGTAATAGGGAGTGAGAATATAGCTGTTATTGCTTGGGGTGGTGGTCTAAGAAGAGGAAACTTGGCGTTGAGCAAGAAAGGTGCTAGGAGGAAATGAAAGGCTATGTAAGAAAGCATGTTTGGCGGCCAGCGATAGGGGGATTTGACTGTAAGCGTACTTAGCAATGGATTATTATTCGGTGGATGAGTGTAAAAGGAATTGGAGGGAATGAAGAAACAAGAAAACAAAATGATAATGGTTTTTTGACAAATCAGGGAGGAGCGATGTAAATCAGCATTTTTTTTTCAAAAATAGATTAAGTCTTTTGTGTGTGTTTGTGGTACCAGGGATCGAACTCTGGACCCCTTGCGAGGCAGGCAGCAGCACCACTGAGCTAAATCCCCAGCTAAGTCTTTTTCAAAGGGAGATAGTTGCATGGGGTTTAATAATCTCAGCATAAAGACAGTTTACTTTATTTTTTGGTTTTTGGTCTTTTTGATACTGGGGATGAACTCAGGACCTCGTGGTTGCTAAGTAGGTGCTGGGCTGCTGAGCTAAATCCCCAGCAAAAGGACAGTTTAGTACTTTAGTAATAATTGTTACCAGAGATGCTAAGATTTGGATGGATAAGGTAAGGAGGGCTGGGTTTGAGGATGAGAGAGGTAAGAATGCAAGTCTTTCTTTAGTGGGCGTGGAAATAAGGAATCCAGCAAAAAAATGGAGATTAATGATTATTCTGTGGAGACTGAGAAAAATATTTTTCATGTGTTAGTACCACCAAGGATGATGTGGGGAGGAAGGTAGAGAAACATGGAGGATTATATTTTCCTTTGAAGATTTGCTGGGACCTTCCCTAGGTTAGGAATTGTGTCTTCTCTGTATGCTAGTGATTACCAAGAACAGGAAAAAAATGCTTCTCCAGGACTCCCTGAAGTCAAAGACTTGTTCTGTTTTGTCTTCCAGTACCTTGCTCCTCTGGTGCTTTATCTGTGGTACTGATTGGGCTGAGGAAGAAAGGAGAGGAAGTCCTCTGGGAGGGAATGGGAAAGGTCGGAAGGAGGAGACTAGGTAGGTAAACCTCTTCATTTTCTAGGAGAACCGGAGCCTAACTATCAAACTTCGGAAACGGAAGCCAGAGAAAAAGGTGGAGTGGACCAGTGACACTGTGGACAATGAGCATATGGGGCGCCGCTCTTCAAAATGTGAGTATTAACCCACAGTGGCCTTCATAAGTCTGCTGGCCTCCCAGAAGCCCCCAGGCACTCACAATTCTGTCACTTCTCAGGTGGTTCTCAGGGAAATGTGGTTACGTTAAGGGAAAGAGGTAGAGTGTTTCTAGAATTGTAATATACCAAGGCCTAAGGGCAAGAAGTATCCAGTGGAAGAAGTGGGACTTCAGGTTCTTGGTTCCCTAAAGGAACAAGGGGGTTGGGTACCTGAGTCCTGTGGTGTGGGTGTGGAGAAGCCAGAGTCCTATGAAGTAGGAAGAGACAGCAGTGGAAATAGGAATTTTCAGAGATCCCAGAGGAATGAAACTGACTGAATAGCTTATTCTTCCTTCTTTTTAACTGGGCTCCTCCACCCTAATCTAGGTTGCTGTATTTATGAGAAACCTCGGGCCTTTGGTGAGAGCTCCACTGAGAGTGAGGAAGAGGAAGAGGAAGGTTGTGGTCACACCCACTGTGTACGGGGCCACCGCAGAGGACGGCGTCACGCAACCCCCGGACCGACCCCCGCCACTCCTCCCCAGCCTCCTGACCCCTCCCAGCCCCCTCCAGGGCCAATGCAGCACTAAATTCCTTTCTTCCCCACCATTCCTGTGTCTGTGTGGCCCTGAATGTGTCCACATGGCTACCTGGGAACTAAACCCACGGTTTGATCCCTCTTCCTCTGCTCTGCCTGATAGAGGGAAGAGGAAGAGAAGGATGGACAGAGATCCATGCCTGGAATTCTGACTTGCTGCTACTCCAGAACCCAGACCTCTGGGTTCCCCCAACCCTCATTTCTCCTCCCAGTTCTCTCCCTGTCAGGGATCTCGGCATCTCGGTCCCAGTCTTCTGCCTTTGTTCTCACTGCCAAACTTCCTGTCCTGGGATCCACTTGTGTGTCTTGGCTCCCTGCATGCTCAACATGAGTCTTACATACTTAAGTTTGGTTTTTGAAAGTCCCAGCTTTCACTGCCAGGGTCCCAGTCAAATTCCAGGCAACCTCACCCCAGCTATGAGTGTTAATCCTGGCTTAGAGCTCGTCCACGTATGGATTTATATACTCCTCATTCTTAGTCCTTGCCTGTAGGATGTGAGGTCTTCAGGGAGAGCACAGGGCCCAGCCTTTCCCCTCCTGTCTACCCCTTCATCTTCTCAGAAAGAGCCAGGAGAGAGGTCTTTGTCATTTGTACCACAAGGGAAAGTGGAACAGGAAATAGTCATGTCCTCTCTCCCCACAGTTCTGATTTGATACAGTATTTCTGACAAAGCTGGCTTGAGACTGGTCACTTAGAACCAATCGTTTCAGTCTTTGGCCTTTCAGCTTCAGAGACATAGAGTAAAGTCCACGGCAGGGGCAGATAAAGGAAAACAGTGGGAGTGAACAAGACGGGTTGTGTCTCCTACACGGCACTCCTACCCCTGCTAGGCTTGTCCACCAGCCCAGACAGCCAGTCGCCTCAGCTCTCCCACCCCTTACTGAGATCTGGTTATCATTTTGTAGGCCTCTTGCTGTGCAGAGATCAGTTACATCCATGCCACCACTGAGACCTCATTTATTGCCACAGATGCACAAAATAAATAACCCAACATCACAAAACGTGTTAACTACAGGCCCATTTATACAGACGGGGATAGACGGGATGCTATGTACGAAGGGACATGTTTGCTGCATCTGGGACTGTCTGAGTAATTCCCAGCTTCAGAGGGGAAGTAGCACCATGGGTCCCTTCCTTATGGAACCGGGGAAGTCTTTAATGGAAGAAGGTTGTAAACATAGCCAGAAAAGGAGTAGAACTGGCTTGCACTCCCCCCGACCGCACAGTAAAGGGTGTTAAGCTTGGTAGAGGTCTCTAGGGTGCCGGCCAGAATCAAGCTCTTATTTCTCATAAGAAACCGCCAGTGGTCAGGACTAGGGGGACTTTGAAGCTGGGAGAGGCAGGGCCTCTGTCCTAACTCGGCCTTTCACCAGCACTAGTGGGGCAGACGTGCCCTAATTCAGGTTTGTAATAGCACAGAAAGAGGAGAACTCGGTTCAGAAGTATTGGAGTAGCTGTGAGGAGAAAAGGGTCCCAGAGGGAGGTTTGGGAATAGCTTTGGACATGGAGGTGGGGGCCGACCCAGAGGCCAGTTGAGGTCGTGTTATGCAGGTTGGGGCATACTTATTAACACCCCTGAGTAGGCACACGGACGTGGTCCCAGAAGTGAGTACGGTTTCTATACCCAAGGGGAAGCAGCTCCGTGGCTTGGGCTTTCAGCCCTCTCCAGGCACAAGGCGTAGCGGGGTGCGGGGATCGCAGATGCAGAGCAGCGGGAAGACACGCTGCCCCAGGGGCCCGGGCGCCTGGAAGGCGAAGAGCAGGTCCAGCGAGCGGCCGTCGTAGAAGGCAACG